AGCGTCGAATACAATTTTATTATATTGAATTGGTACGATGTTGAAATATGGTAAAGGGTCTTTGCCCGAAAAGGTTAGCTCACGCAGTGCGTGCATTTCCCAGTGTGTTAATTTAATGTTTTAGAAACATTTAACGAGGAATTATGATCATGAGATGACGATATTTTACAAAACGGACGATACAATAATCGCATAACTTATATAGTACGAAAATATATCGCTGTTTAATTATTGTTGTGATACAGAGGAGACACCAAAAAAAACACATTCATCAATACCTCTCTGGCCTATCTACTTATGTGCTGCGATGAAGAAGGGCCATTGCCCGAAACGTCGCCGAGTATATTATTTTCCTTTTAAGGCGGTGGTATAAATATCGTGGGATGTCAGGCACGTCGCGGGAAACCACGGTTAAGAAATAACAGCGATGTCACGCACAAGTGACATAAACAACCCCTTTCACCGCCCATGCCGGTGCCACAGCCAATGGGACCTCGGCTGAAGGACCTCTTAAGGAAGACTCGCACACGCGAGCCGAGCAGTCAAACGCCACGATTATTAAGCAGTGGCGTAACTATTGGATGTGCACACAAGCGGTGGTGCGGCTACACCAGTGGGACGTAAGGTCCGACGAGCGGGGAGGGGGGGGAATGGACAAAAACGAAACTATTTATTTTTATTTTACCAGGTTAGCCCCACTGAGCTATATTTAGCTGTATTTCAGAAGCGACCTGCCCACACACGATGATAGCTCAACGAAAGTGCCTGACCACGTGGACATTTGTAGCAACCAAATATTATAAACGCGGGTTCGATTCTTAAAGTGGAGGGGAAAAACCCGGAGGACCCGAAGAAAAATCCACACGACCACGAGGAGACAGAGAACATGAAAATTCCAAATATACAGGCGTCAGGGGTCGCGATCGGGATGGCGATTGAGCCCACGACCTCCTGCATAACAGGGGAAATAGTTAACATTTCGCCACCGTAGCTCCCCTATATTGCCATACATGTCAACCTCTAGGGCTTCTTCGTATTCTTGTACAGGGAAATTAAGTTTGCAGGCCCATACGGCGTAAAGCCGTTTCAATACGAGCAATAAAAAAAAAATCTTGATTTGAATCTTTCGTGACTGCAGAATCCATACTCTTTGGTTCTTTAGGGTAAAGTCACGTAGTAGGTAGATATAAAATTAAACAAATCACGACGTTTCGATCGCAACACAAGCGGCCGTGATCAGGCGACCGCTTTGTGTTGCGATCGAAACGTCGTGATTTGTTTTATTTTATTTCTAACTACTACGTGACTTTACCGAAATAACCAAAGAGCAATACAAAATAGTTTTAGTTGTTTGTGTTACTCCATTTTGATGGGACTTTTGTAGGATGAACGTTGAGATTTATAAGGGCACGGGGTGACCAATAAGGTCTGAATTGGTCTGTAATAAGGTAGGCACTGATAGAGGGTTGACAGGTACGCATTTCACCTGGACCCATGCCAACCACGTTACGCCACAGTTGTGTGTATATGTTTGCGTGTGTGTCAGTCGGCAAGCTCGCGGAGGAGGCTCGTGAAGGACGCTATTGTGCAGCAATATGGCACCGTGGGGAGCACAACAAGGTGGTGCGACTGTCAATAATCTCAGTCAACACTTAGCTCTTGTTTCGTGACCTCCCGCTTCACGTGGTGTACCTAGCCCGGCACAAGCGCCGTCACTGTCAGTTTGCGGTGAACGGCGGCCGTTGTAGTGTGACTATCGAGTGTGCCGGCGGTGCAGAATCAGAATCTGTATTGATCCTGGAGAAATCCGATGAGCTGTGAAGCTTTTTTTTCACTATTGTCCGGTGCAATTGCACCGTAGGTGCTGGGGGGGGGGGGGCACGAGCTGGACCGGTCCAAGCCAGTGCCGGATGAAGCTAATGCGGGGCCTGTAGCATGCGTTACAAAGGGGCCCTGAATAAATAAACACGTAAATATTCAAACACATAAAAAAAAATACTTGCACAGTAAAGTAATTGTATTTTTTCATTTTCTATACAGCCGGGTAATTCGACAAATCACTAACCTTAAACACCCGGTCGTTCGTAAAAGTTGAAGGCGGTATAGTACTATAGTAATAGAGCAAGTGCAGAATCACTGAACCGGGATTGATAGCTTGAAAGCATTTAGCGCAGAGCCCTTGAAAGTACGGGGCCCGTAGCTACTACATTTGTAGTAGATACTACATATGTAGCTACTACACGTGTAGCTACTACACGTGTAGTAGCTACACATGTAGCTATTACATATGTAGTAGCTACTTGTGCTACTGGGATAATTCCGGCACTGGCCCAAGCACTGTGCTATGAAAAGGGACGGGAATGAGAGAGGGTGCGGGCTAGGGGTTAGAGGTTGGGAATTGGACGGGAGGGCCCCATTTAAATTCCTTGCACCAACCAGGAGGACCCACTCCAGCCACTCGACGCCCCTGAACTCTTTGCATGATTGGTCGTGTTGCTGCGTCGCAATTCGAGATTGGATTTTTTGTTGTCGCGTTTAGTTTTAAATTCTGGTGATTATCGAGGCGCGCTAGTGGCAGCAGGCGTCTCACGGATCCACATCTTCTTACATTAGTATAAAAAGGTGTACCGATGGGAAAATTGTCGATTGGCACGTGCGATTATGTGGATTCATCATGAGCAAAATCGATTTGAATCGATAAACCGATACACGTTACACCGCATAACTGACACGTGAAAAAATGAACGTTCGATTTTTTTGCAGCACATTTTTTAAAATATCGTATATAACATAATCTCCAATCCTCACCTAAGTCACATTAGCAATAATAAACCATGTAAATAAAGTTACCTTTAATGGTATTGTATGTATGCGTTTAAAATTAAGAATGATGCACATTGCATCACAAGGGCGTACGATTGTCGATGGTGTAGGGATGCATTTGTTCAACCAACATTGTATTGAGAATATAATAGCTGATGTTAATAAGTTATTTAAATTTCATATTAAGCGTTTCATGTTTGAACGAAACGTGTTCGGAGTAACTGCGACACACTTGCTTCCATTCATTTTCATTCCAGCTGACAAATTTTGTACGAAGTGCAATTACACCAACACTTCATGTTTTCAAACAACATTCTATTTGGCCAGAATGTTGTTTAAGGGGTCATCCATGTCACCCTGAGTCTTGTGTATGTGTGCGCGCGTGTATGTATATGGCCATGAACGTGCAGTGGGCTGACCAGTGAAGATTATCTGAACCGGTCCTGGGCCTCCCCTAGCTAGACTCAGCCTCAAATGAGCACCTGGTGCGATGTGTAAAGGGGCCGTCCATAAATGACGTCACGAGATTTTTGGACGATTTTTGACCCCCCCCCCCCTTCGTCACACGGCGTCACGAAAAGTCAGACCCCCCCCTCAAATATGACGTCACAAAGCTCTGTCCCGCCCCCCCCCCCAAATAAAACATTAAAATCGCTTTAAACTGTTGTCATTGTAGTGCGTATTTAATGTGGCGCTGCACTCTGTTGTTGGAGAAAACATTTATTAAAAAGTCTATTCAATTAAGTAGAACGTGTTGTCTATATTTATTTAAAGTTGCGATTTTTCGTTTGACGTCACATTTCTCAAACACCCCCCTCGTCACACATCTTCACAAATGTCTGACCCCCCCCTCGCCCCTAGGTGCGTGACGTCATTTATGGACGGCCCCAAAGACATTGCCACTGGGGAGACAAAGGCGGTCGGGCGTGGTGCTGGCCACCCAACTACCTCGTGTGCGACAGTGCCGGCCTTCATAGGCGCTACTCGCTAACAGCACTTGCCCCAACAGTCTGTTAAGGGGGGGTCTTTGTTTATGGCCATTAAACACTTTCATGCGGAGGGAGCTGGTAGGAACGTTGGGTTGCTCGGTCAATGGCCAGGGTCAACGGCGGCACCACCACGTGGTGTATTCCGCAAATATGCCCGACTGTAAGGGCGGGCACAAGCCTGGCGTGAGTAGGTTAAACGTTGAGTTTTATAAGGGCACCACGGGGTGACCAGCCCCTCCCCACCCAGCCCCACCTCTCCCACTCCCCACCCAGCCCCTCTCCTCCCACCCTCCCCACCCGGCCCCTCCCGACCCTCCCCACCCAGCCCCTCCCTCCCACCCCCATCCAGCCCCACCCCTCTCACCCCCCACTCAGCCCCACTCAGCCCCACCCTCCCCACCCAGCCCCTCTCCACCCTCCCCTCCCCACCCAGCCCCTCCCACCCCCACCCAGCCCCACCCCTCCCACCCCCCACCCAGCCCCTCCCTCCCCACCCAGCCCCTCCCCACTCAGCCCCTCCCTCCCCATCCAGCCCCTCCCCACCCAGCCCCTCCCCTCCCTCCCCACCCAGCCCCTCCCCTCCCTCCCCACCCAGCCCCTCCCCACCCTCCTCTCCCTCCCACCCCCCACCCAGCCCCACCCCTCCCATTTTTGATGCACGACGGACGAACGGACACAATAATCCCCTGTGGGCTGGTGGTGTAACCAGGAGGTTCCTACCAGTACATGCACAATGGCTGTATAATAATAACCACCACCACTACCGCCACTACCGCCGTCGTAATGTGTCTGTGTATCAGGCGGCGTAATTAATTAAGGGGTGGCAGATGCAGTTAGCCTCTAAAGTTGCGTCCGAGAACCCAACCACGTGCGTGACTCAGTCGATTGGTGGCAACTTTCCATCGATCGTGAATTACGAGATTTAGAGCAAAAGTCTGACTTGGCTCTGCTGATGAGACGCTGAATGTAGAAACCGGTCCAAGTGTCCCTTTTGTCTTGTCTCGACGATAATGCTGATGAAGTGATGCGCTGGTGGAGAGACGTACACGTGTGAAGGATATTTATATTGTAATATTCGCAACGACGCTACTGATTATTTTGAGTTTGATGTTACACGACTGCGTGAAAACGTAGTTTTGTTTTTGGTTTTTTTTGCGCCACGATATTTGTGAGGTAAGTTGACGATTGTTCAGCTTTATGAATGAGGCAGTTATTGAATTTTTAATGATGGTGCTAGTAAATTGGGATGTTATTTATTGATGTCGATGGTAGTTGATTATGCTCGTTGATATTGATAATAGTGATGAGGGTAATTGATGGTGGCGAAAGGCTTAATGTTACCAATCCCCCCTCCGCTATGTCGATCAGTAACGGAGACCAACACAATACCGATATCAGTGTAACTTAGTCCCAGATATCGTGCAAAAAAAAACAAACCACCACAATGCTTGTCATCCCAACACAACAAGATACCAATAATCAAGACTTGTCAGTTGACAACCCACCGCAGCGATGGTAGTGAATGGTGTTGATGCACGGTGCTGGTAATTGTCGATGATGATACAGTATCATGATCGATGATGTGGGTGATGATGTTATTATTTCGCCGCTATCGCGATGCATCCTTAAGAGGCCTAGCCGAAGCCTACGGATCTGTCAGTGCACGGCTCTTGGGTAAGGAGGTTTACAAAGCTGCGCAATTCCTATAACTTAAACAGACGCCTCCCGCCGCGGGCAATCCTTAATTAATGCCTCATTTTGATGTAAACTCAATTGCAAAGGTCCTCCAAAGTTAATTGTATTCTGTCTTCATTGAATTATTAGACGCTTGGCGTTTGAGATTAATTTTTACGTTTTTTTATTTTTACCTCAGTTTTATGTTATTTTAAAAAAAAAACATGATTAAATTGTAATATTGTTACTAAGCGAGTGGTCGGTCGTGGGGTTTCGTTGTTGTTGTTGATCATACTTCACTACGTTTTGGATAAAGTATCGGTTGTGTATATTTTTTTTGAAGAACAAGCCCGCCAAATTTGTACGTACAGTACGCAATGTTTTTCTGTACTGTACAGATGGGTGGCGCAGCGGTGTGCGCACTGAGCTCTTTGAGGGATTCCTGACCACGGCTCACATCAGTGGCGAGGGATATGACGGGGCCCTCCAACCCCGTCAGCGTGGTGAAGTATGGACAAATAACCCGATGGCACGGGGGAGGTCTTCATCCAGCAGTGAACTAACAAAGGGTTTAAAATTATTATCCCCGTTAATGCGTCCTCTGTTTCTGAGGTAAATGTGCTTACTTTTCGAAAGATTTTCCCAAATGGTAGACATTTACCATTGTCACTGACAATGCGTAGCTTCACGGTGCGTACCGTTGATATGAGTGGCCCCGCCATGTGAATGTGGAATCTCCACGATTGGCTCAGGCCTGTCCAGAGTATGGTCACCTGTAGGAGTTACCAGGTAAACATTTTTTTTTAAACAATCTGTTGTTGTGAATTCTAGGTGTCGTATGTCTCGATTTGATCGATTAATATCGCGTGTGTAAGAATTGATGTTTTAAAAATAAGAGCTTTTCGAGTCGATTTATGACCCAGAAATAGCGACGATTGTAAATGTTGTGGATTTACTCTCCAACACATACCGGTGTGCTGTACTAGTAACGAATTGCCATCTTGTTTACGTGACAAACCTTACTAATTGTCTTTGTCGGGTGGTGGCGGGTTTAACAACACATTTGTATTTACGCGATCAAACCACCCCCCCCCCCCAAAAAAAAACCTGTATTTCGAATTGATTTGAAAGTTGGCCAATCGTTAGTCCATTAATGGCAACCTCTGAGAGGAGAACAATTTTGCAAGTGGGAGCTGGCAAATATACGTGTGAGATGAAAACATTCTTGAGCCAGGACGCAATTGCGTAGGCAGCACGGTTGGGATGTTGCCCTGGTTCAAGTGACGAATGTGGGGGGCACTCTGTCCCATTTTATTCCCTGTCGTCGTATTCCAAGGCCTGGGCCCCTCGAGGACGTGGGCCCAATGTGCAGTTGCACCGACTGCACATTTTAATGGCCATGTGAAGGAGGCTCAAGATTCGTTTAGTCAAATGCCCTGCTTTGGAGTGATTGGCCAGACGTTTTCAGCTGGGAGTTGAGGAAACCACACTTCCTGGAGAAACCTCACATTTTCACGGGGAGAACACTGAAACGTGACATTGGGTTATAATTGTAACGCGTGCTAAAAAAAAAAAGATTGGACGTGTTTTACGTTCGAATCATTTGAATGTAAATGTGATGTGGCACCTCATGTTCCCCCTGCCTGCAGTGATTAATTATCCATCACATCAATCTATACTTGTATACAATCGATCAAACCAGTCAGTTGCTTCAGTGGGGGAAGGAATTACTGACATTCTATAGTCCGGATGTGGTGGATCACTATTGCCCACCAAAACAAATTTTAAACATTTTCTCACTCAGGCAGCCCATAATAAACAAGAACCCGGACATTTTAAGAATGACTGCATTGTCATGAAAATAATAATTCAAAAAGTACATCATTGTTGGGTGCAGAATCCGCCATGGAATAAAAAAATGTACAGCAGACAAAGGTGACTCGAAGCATCTGGCTTCACATCGATGCATGCAGCGACTGGTTAGCGTCACTTAGATTGATTAAATTCACGGTGATGGGCAGTAAAACTGGATTATGATGAAGGCGTCAATTATTTCACTGCAAGACCTATACAGTGAGGGAAAAAAGTATTTGATCCCCTGCTGATTTTGTACGTTTGCCCACTGACAAAGAAATTATCAGTCTATAATTTTAATGGTAGGTTTATTTGAACAGTGAGAGACAGAATAACAACAAAATCCAGAATAATGCATGTCAATAATGTTATAAATTGATTGGCATTTTAATGAGGGAAATAAGTATTTGACCCCCTCTCAATCAGAAAGATTTCTGGCTCCCAGATGTCTTTTATACAGGTAACGAGCTGAGATTAGGAGCATACTCTTAAAGGGAGTGCTCCTAATCTCAGCTTGTTACCTGTATAAAAGACACCTGTCCACAGAAGCAATCAATCAAACAGATTCCAAACTCTCCACCATGGCCAAGACCAAAGAGCTCTCCAAGGATGTCAGGGACAAGATTGTAGACCTACACAAGGCTGGAATGGGCTACAAGACCATTGCCAAGCAGCTTGGTGAGAAGGTGACAATAGTTGGTGCGATTATTCGCAAATGGAAGAAACACAAAAGAACTGTCAATCTCCCTCGGCCTGGGGCTCCATGCAAGATCTCACCTCGTGGAGTTGCAATGATCATGAGAACGGTGAGGAATCAGCCCAGAACTACACGGGAGGATCTTGCCAATGATCTCAAGGCAGCTGGGACCATAGTCACCAAGAAAACAATTGTTAACACACTACGCCATGAAGGACTGAAATCCTGCAGCGCCCGCAAGGTCTGAATGATTCAGAGGACAACTGGGTGAAAGTGTTGTGGTCAGATGAGACCAAAATGGAGCTCTTTGGCATCAACTTAACTCGCCGTATTTGGAGGAGGAGGAATGCTGCCTATGACCCCAAGAACACCATCCCCACCGTCAAACATGCAGGTGGCAACTTTATGCTTTGGGGATGTTTTTCTGCTAAGGGGACAGGACAACTTCACCGCATCAAAGGGACGATGGACGGGGCCATGTACCGTCAAATCTTGGGTGAGAACCTCCTTCCCTCAGCCAGGGCATTGAAAATGGGTCGTGGATGGGTATTCCAGCATGACAATGACCCAAAACACATGGCCAAGGCAACAAAGAAGTGGCTCAAGAAGAAGCACATTAAGGTCCGGGAGTGGCCTAGCCAGTCTCCAGACCTTAATCCCATAGAAAATCTGTGGAGGGAGCTGAAGGTTCGAGTTGCCAAACATCAGCCTCGAAACCTTAATGACTTGGACAAGATCTGCAAAGAGGAGTGGGACAAAATCCCTCCTGAGATGTGTGCAAACCTGGTGGCCAAGTACAAGAAACGTCTGACTTCTGTGATTGCCAACAAAGGTTTTGCCACCAAGTACTAAGTCATGTTTTGCAGAGGGGTCAAATACTTATTTTTCTCATTAAAATGCAAATCAATTTATAACATTTTTGACATGCGTTTTTCTGGATTTTGTTGTTATTCTGTCTCTCACTGTTCAAATAAACCTACCATTAAAATTATAGACTGATCATTTCTTTGTCAGTGGGCAATCGTACAAAATCAGCAGGGGATCAAATACTTTTTTCCCTCACTGTAATGAACTTCCCTCGTCGTGTACTGTCGATAAAGCTTTTGTCAACATAACCAAAATGAAATGGTAGTGCGTTGGCGGTTACATGTAATAATAATGCAGCAATGACTCAAGTTTTAAGGCCAGTCAGAAATGTTAGCTTGATGTCGTGTTTGTATCTGCTGTTTAGCTGGAATGTTAGTAAAGTGGTTCACATGCTTCGAGCAGAATATTGAAACAACTACGTCCCAATGACTTACACACGGTCTGGGGAGTCCCTCATTCAGAGGTTCTTTGAAAATTTTGGTGTAAATGTTTTACTGATATTACAATTTTTACGATGTATTTTAATATATCCAGGTGGTCCATTTGTTAAAACATACACCTCTCAATTAAAAGAGGTTGTGAGTGGAATCTCTACTGGAGTCAGTTCAGCATTTTATCCCATAGGGGCTCAATAAAATTGGTGCTATTTTAAATAAAGTCAACAGTGAGTTTATTATGGATTAACATACCCCTGTTATAGGAATGTGTAATTTCTGCCACTGGCTTTGGAGTACCGACAGATGAGCACTTTTAATTTGTTTTATTATTTGTCAGGGGTGCCAAAACTTGCTGACCTTATGAGCCGCGTACCAAAATCGTATGGCCTGCAGTTGAGAGGCACCAGCTTTTACTGGTTGTGCGTGGAGTTTTTAATGTAGACGTTTATGGGAGCACCTTCGGAGTACTGTACTCATGTCTGGCTCCTCTGCCAGGTTTGAGTGCCCTGGGCCGCTGTAACTTTCGTAGACTTTTTGTTTCAAATGAAGTTACATTGCAAAGTTAAACATAAATTGCATCTCTTTTGAACTGGACTTGAACTGCCCAAGAGCTGCATGTGGCTTGTGAGTTTGACCACCCCTGTTATGTATTATCGTCTTCATTCATGGTCTATCAACTGCTATCTTCGTTCTGTGTTATCACAATCTCATTTCTTAACATCATATGAACTCATCACTATCTGCAGGGTGGTCATCCTCGCATTCTTTCATAATTACTACCATTCATTCATCATTATCATCCATCGGCAATCTCTTCTGCAATGTATTCTGCCAAAGCCCAGTTACATACTTTAAAAGCCAGTAAGATATCTATATATATTAATTGTGTTTTTTTCTCTTGATCCATGTGTTCCTCTTTCTCGGCGTCTGGGTTATTCAGCAGCGTACTTTATTAAATTTATGCTGCATTATTAATGACAATTCTGGCAAAGTTTTTTTTATCACATTGTACGTGTGACAGCGGAGATGTATGTTGCCTGAAGCGGTCTTTTAAACCCTATCATACAGCTGAGCCATGCCACCTCTCGTCGTGTCTGCCACCCGCAACTGTCTCTCACTTTCTCAGTAATGAGTTCGAGGGTGGTGGAGGGTGAGTGACAGTGCCAAGGGCGATTGTGAGCTCTTCTCGTGATCCATGCTTTGCTGAGCACACGTGTTGCCAAATTCCCAGCACTTCTGTGTTTCACCTCCTGTCATTTTATGTGTTGCTGCTCCGATTGGCATAATGACACTGGGAGCAGTCTGTGTTACACAACCTAGAACATAGTATACAAATATTTCAAAGTGGTTTTCCTGTCCAGGAGATTAGAAACAGTGCTTGTATTATTTTGCTTGTTTTTGATTGGGTGAAATATGGTGCCAAGGTTGTCACTTGGCATATGTCAAGTGCCTGAGAACAGTTTTAAGCATAATTCTTCATAAATTGGAGCATTTGAGTTAAGCAATGAAATGTGTTTAATGTATGGCAATGAGTGTTAACAAATTATAATTTAAAAATATTTTTTTCTAGTAAAGCTGCAATGAATTTCAAGATGTTTTACACCATACGTCTATGAGGCCATTTCCGTTTTTGAGTATTGCTTCACGTCGCAG